CCCCCCCCGAGTGACTACCCATTAGGCTCGTTCAGATTGGTTATGTTGATTGGCTGAGATTTAGATTTGAAACACGTTTGGAATAGCAAGAATTCACCTAATTTCCAGGGAATTGAACAAAACCCATGGTATAGTAGAGGCATGTGATTCAAGAATTGAGAATTCCGATTTCAAATCCAGAGATATGTGATTCCTGTGTGAATTCCCTTATTCCCGTTAAGTTGAGTGCCTAACCAAACAAGGCTTTCTTCCTTTAAATGAACTACTGCAATGAGTGTTATCCCACAGGACCTAATTGCTGTCTGATACTTGCTTCCATTTCTTTATGTTAATTGAATTTTGATGTTTTCGTAACCTGGCATGACAAGTTGACAACCCTTTTTTTTCAATTAGGGCGTGTTTGGTAAGGGTTAGTTGGATGAAATAGCTGAGACTGTATTTTAGGGTCGGTTTCGTAAGGATTTATGGCAATGAAACAGGGCCTTATATATCAATTTATATACTACTTTTATGCTAGTGTTGGAGTTTGCTCATTGGTCTCTATCATACTATGCAGGTAGGGCTTCAGTTGGAACAGCATGCTTATGCAAGAAGACTTGCTAGATTTGCCGCGAATGTGGGGCCCGTCGCCTGGAATATAGCTTCAAAGAAACTGCAGCACGTTCTCCCTCCCGGGGTCGAGTTTGGTCCCGGGTGGGTGGGCGAAGGCGGCGCCGCTGCTGCTCAGCCACACCCATATTCACCCGAGACTCAGAATTTGCCAAACAGACCTCTAACGCCGCCTTTCCCGGGCACGTCCTCCGAGGCCATGATCGAGGCGGTCAGAAGACTGAACAGTCTGAATGAGATGGCGGAGCAGCGCGGTGGGGCCCGCCCGAAGCCCGTGTTCCATCCGAACCGGAATGGTATGAACGGCATGTTCGGGTACGACCTTAACGTCCGAGTTCAGCCAGCGGGCCCCGGGTCGCCGAGTTCTAGTAGTATCCAAATTGGTTCCCCAAAGCAGCCAGACTTGGCTTTACAACTATAATACAGAAGAAACTAGGGACTTAATAATTATGATGCTAAGGTAGCTGAGTAGTGTAACATGAAGCTGTAGTTACTTGGGAAATCTTGTACAGATTCTTATGTATCTTTTTTTAATTTTAATTTTTATTCTTTCTTTTTGGATTGAAATTTGAAATTGGGAGATGATAAAAGGAGAGCTATAGATAAAACTTCGAATTTCTTTAGATTATAATTGTTGTTGATATGGCTATTGTCACTACTATTATAATTACATTATAATTATAATTATTACTCCTACTTTTTTTTACACTAATAATTTTATTAAAATGTAATATATATTCATACATTTCTCATTTTATTAAAGCACGTAGAGTTCTTGTTCTTATCGAGTTCGAACACGTGACCTCTTATTTAAAAGAGGTCCCTTGATGCTCATCGACGACAAGGTCTTTGGCACCTCTACTTATTATTATTATTATTATTATTATTATCATCATCATCATCATCATCATCATCATCATCATCATCATCATCATCATCATCATCATCATCATCATCATCATCATCATCATCATCATTATTATTATTATTATTACATAACATAATAGAACTAAAACATTAAATATATATGAGCTTTCCCCCCACACCGGGAGTCTCAAATTATTATTATTATTCTTGATTTTATATTTATACTCCCAAATTGAATAATTGGTACAAGTACACCACTACTTATAGAAAATCACTCAATTTTATACTCCGTACCATATTTCGAGTTGTCAAAACTTTAGTTGAACTGAAAGGTAATTAATAAAAATAAAATTTTAGTTGAACTAAATAATTGACTGAACAGTGATTAAGTATGTGTTTGTAATTAATAAAAATAAAAAATTACATTTAATGCATTATAATTAACCATCCTCCCCCATCGATTTAACATAAAATGTGCGAAAGTTTAAATTTTGTAATGTGTTTATATTATTATCAAATAAACTATGAATAGTGTTTCTAAATGAGAAATTAGAGAATTTTAAAGTTAATATTTTGTGAGATATATTGTTGAATTTATCTCTTAAATACCTATCCATACTTTTGATCATAAAATATTAACTTTAAAATATTTTATTATTCATCTGAAATATTATTTAAAATTTATGTTATAAAAATATACATATTTTGATTTTTTAGTTTGACCAATTTTTAGTTTTTTTTTCATTTTAAACCAATAGGGTGGGGTCTAGGTATAACACATTCAAAATATTTTTTTATTTTTTTATTGTTTACTATCTTATGCATAATAATGGTTTAATCACTATTTAAAATGTTGCATATTCAACTTAGTTGACAACATGAGATATTGGTATAAAATCAAATAATTTCACAGAACAGTGGTATTTGTTATTCAATTTTTTTAATAATAACATAAAATCACAAATTTCTTAGAGTGTTCATGTGACTTTTTCCTTGACATTTATTTGATAACATTTATTTGAGATTATAAAAATCTTATAGTTTTGCTATCAAAATATTGCATTAGCCACTGTAAAAAAATCAAAACAAAGAAAATGGATGAGACGTACACTAGTCAATGATCTCCATATGTAATTGCCAAAAAGAATTCAATTCACAAGAAAGAGATGACTAGTCTTATTGATCACGATATATAGAGATTGAGTCTCCATTTGACATCAGTCGTAGAGATTAACATTAATATTTTAAAATATTATCTGACGGTGATATTTAGTGTTAACGTTTTTTGAATATTAATATTTTATCCAAAATGTTAATGCTAATTAAAAACGCTCTTTTCAAACAAGGCCTGAGACCAGAAAAGATGGGAGATAAATGGTCCTTGAGACTCGTCCAGTCTTGGATCGGTAGTCTCATTTGGTCTTTGATTTTTTATGAAAGATTAGATCTGTCTCGATCGGGTAGTGTTTCTAAAAGACTAGATCGAGATCGAATTAGGACTAACGATTTAATACATTTGAAATATAATTCTTATACATGAATATTTATACCGAGTACTTTAAAATTTAATGTTTATATAAATATGTTTATCCTATCAATATAAAGCATAACACATTACATAATTTTCTTAGAATTTAATAACAAAAGAAAATCTCATATGTATAAAGCATACATATTACTCCGTAACATTTATTTTTTCGTAGCATAATAATTATAACTTCATAAGGTATATGAAAAATAAGAAATTAAATAATCAAAAATAAATTTTATTATTTTTTTACGATATTTTTATTTTTTGAAAAACAAGAAGTTAAGAATTTTATATATTAAAGACCAAATCCGACTTGGAGTGGGATTAATCCAAGATAATCTTGAAAAGTTGACTTCTTGCAACTCAACTCAAGTAAGGTTGTAAATGAATCGAATATTTTTTGTTCGATTCGTGTTTCGTATTCGTTTAAGGTGATTCGTATTTGAAATTTTTAAATCCGAATACGAATACGAATTTGAATAAATATTCGAATCCTTATCGAATACGAATATGAATCAAGGGTATTCGATTCGTGAGTTTGACAAATATATTCGGAATATAAATCTAGTTATACAAATTTTATATATATATATATATATATATATATATATATATATATATATATATGGGCTGGTTCCTGTGAGAATGCACCTTGTGGAGAGAAATGAGAATGAAATCTAGCTGTTGGATCTGATGCATCGTGCGGCTCAGATTGCATCTTGCGCTCAGATTTTGAGATAGTGCATTTTCAAAGGATTATGATGCATTTCGATGTGATGCATTTTCAAACCATTTTGTTGCACCTAATTTTGATGCAATCCTGACCCTTAGATCACACAATCTAAAGCACCAGATTCATTCTCATTTCTCTCCTAAGATCGCATTCTCACCAGAACCAAAATCTATATATATATATATATATATATATATATATATATATATATATGGAGAAACTTTATTCATTTATTTGATGCGGAAGTAGAGGTTACATCACAGAGAAGAGCTCCTTTGACCTTTTTAGGGAGTTGCTCGAAATGAGAGTAAAAAGCACTAAAATTACTGTTTAAAGAAAATTTTGCTAGATTGTGTGCCGCCGAATTTGCTTCCCGGTATATGTGGTTTATTTTTCCTCCAGAATTTTGAAAATTCGTTTAAAAATATTCAGTTCATTTAGATTTTAAAATATTTTATAACCACTTGATATATATATATATATATATATATATATATATATATATATATATATATATATATATATCAAGTGGTTATAAAATATTTTAAAATCTAAATGAACTGAATATTTTTAAACGAATCGAATACTTAAACGAACCGAATATGTTTAATATATTAAACAAACCGAATACGAATCTTAAAAAATATTCGAACTGAATTCGAATTCGAATATGAATATCACTCCATCTTAACGAATATGAATATTTTTCATGAATATTCGATTCGATTCGGTTCGTTTACAACCCTAAACTCAAGTGAAGAAAGAAGGAAGAAAGCTAATCCCGCATTAAGCCGCAAATTATATCGTACATCCGACTGTACGGTTAGAACCGTACGGCTGGCTTAAATCCCTAAGGAGCGCGACAAGACCCGATTTGGAGAAGAAGAGATGGAACGGAAAATTGATGTCGTTGGAAGAATCGGCCACCCACCTTAGTCACGCCTCTATTCGTGCTCGTTGGAGAAGACACAAAGGCCGACGCTAAAGGGATGCTAGTTTCTAATTGCCGGGTCGATCCATATGCGTTCTCATTAGGGGAGAGGAAGCAGGCGGAAATGGCGATTAAGGTATGTGGAATTAGTACAAACTCTAGGGATAGAACTAATTGTAAAGATCAGCGGATAGTGGAATGAACAATTATTTTACTTCACAATGAGACTACCTTATTTGAGAATGAGTACTAATTTGTTTTAGAATGAACATTACTTTATACGTAGCTGAATATTATGATTGTATTAAATAAATGTGTGAAAATGAGTAATATATTATTTCAGAATGAGTATTTTGTTATTTCAGAATGAGCACCACACTATTTCAAAACCAATATATGTTGATAAGAGAATGTGTACTATTTTATTTCAGAATGAGTACTACCCGGATGTATCTATTTCTAGGTACATCCGGATGTACCATATACACTCTCGCATTAAGCGGATCAAGAAAACAGGCCCAGCCCATATTCAGTTCAACTAAAATTTTAGTTAAGGTTTAAGGAGTACTAAACACTTAAACAGAACAATACAAAACCTAAAATCCCCAACCACTATTCAATCGTCTTCCCCAAGTAACAATCACATCTCTGTCTTGAATTCTTGATTCCTTCCTTAAACCTATTCCGATGGCCGGAAAAGGTACCGGAGTGAAGTCCGCATACGTCGCCCTTTGGGTCCTCCTATCTTTCCTCGTGCTCTACCAGCGTTACTTCCACGACGCCTCCGCTCCCGTCTTCGGCGTCGCTCCGTCGCGAAGGGCGGGGTTCAGGGCCAGTAATATCATCAAAGAATACGTGGCCGGAGATCCTCCTCGCGCGGGCACGCTCGTGATCCCTTCTGCCGCCGCCGCCGCGTCGTCGCTACCGGCGGTCTCTGTTTTGGTGCCGGAATGGCAGGTCTTTGTGTTGGCGGAATCTTCTCCTCTGGTTGTGGAGGAGGAGGATCCTTACGTGTGTCTGTTCGAGAACGGAGCCACGTCGCCGGCCGTTTTCACCGGTGTTTTGCCGTCGTCTGGTCGGGCTCTGCTGGTGTGCGATTTGCCCGAACGTTTTCTCCGGTGGAAGAAGATTAAGCAGCCAGTTTTGACCCGGTCGTCGTCCCTGGTCAATTTAACGTCAGATGCCACTGATTCGCAGCCGCCGCTTCTCCGGTGGAACAACCTCGTCTACGACTCTCTCACGACGGAGGACGACGTCGTTTTGTTCGTCAAGGGCGTCAACAACCGGCAAGGGACCAACCGGGATCCGTCTGAGTTCCGGTGCATGTTCTTCACCGCCAAAGATCCGACAGCCGCCGTCAGAACAGAGGTCACCAGCGCCGTACAAGAAGTCTTCCGCTGCAAGCGCCCTGAATCCCTTGCTGCCGGAGAAAAACAGAGCATCATCGTCTCCCTGGAAATCCTCAGACCCACTCCAGCAATCGTCCCCTCAGTGGCGTTCTACAGCCCGCCACGCCACCTCTCCGCCCCTGGCGGCCGGAAACACACTCTCTGCGCCTCCACCATGGTTTTCAACGTCGCAAAGAATCTGAAAGAGTGGGTTCTCTACCATTCAAGAATCGGAGTAGAAAAATTCGTTCTTTACGACAACAACAGCGAGGATGAACTCCAAGAAATCGTGGGAAGCCTCGCAGGTCAGGGATTCGACATCAGCACCTATTTCTGGCCGTGGCCGAAAACCCAAGAGTCCGGCTTCTCCCACAGCGCCGTCTTCGCCAACAGTTCTTGTTCCTGGATGCTATATGCCGACGTGGACGAGTTCTTTTACTCCGAATCCTGGGCCGACCATGAAATTTCGCGGCCCTTACAGTCTATGTTTCCTGTAGATGCTGACGTGGCGCAGCTGAGCTTCCCTTGCTTTGAGTTCGGACCGTCCGGGAAGAAGACGCACCCGCCGGAGGGGGTGACCCAAGGCTACAACTGTCGTCTCCGGCGGGAAAACCGGCACAAATCCGCGGTGCTTCTGGACGCGGACGTCATCCACCACTTCATCATGATGCCCGGGTACAGAACAGAGAGGCAGGGTAATATAGTCATCAACCACTACAAGTACCAGGCCTGGCCTGAGTTCAGGGCAAAGTTCAGGCGGCGGGTCTCGGCTTACGTCATGGACTGGACCAAGCGGGTGAACCCGAACTCGAATGACCGGGCTCCCGGTCTTGGGTACCGGGCAGTCGAGCCCCCGGATTGGCCCAAGATGTTTTGCGAAGTTTACGACAACGGGTTGAAATCGCTGGCCCGGAGATGGTTCGGCATTCAGTCTCCCGACGGTTTCAGGCTGGCTTGGCAGAGTTGATGTTCCTTCATGTTCCCTGCATCTGCTCTCTGTTGCCTCAGCTTCATCTTGGGTTTTCTCTTGCCAAAGGTAACCAATCCTTTTTTCTTCTTCAATATGGATATCTTGCTTAAAAGCCATATTTGCTTCTTTTTGCCTATATAAACTGAACATGGATTTGGGTATTTGTTAAATTTGTTTTTGATATTAGTTTATTTTTGCACTTCAAATGCAGATTCTTGACATAAATATATACATACATATGACTTGTTTCCATATTTACAAATGCCTAAACACTATTATTCTCTTGTTATTTCAATCCCATAATGGAATGTGCCAACTGTTTTGCAGCCTATCAAGAATCATCTTCTGCTTCATTGAATGCCATACCATCTTCAGGAAAGAATGAGCTTATTTGGATGTATCAGGGAAGTCCCTTTTCCTCTTAATGCATTTCTCCCAAATCTGCTTGTGTGATGATTGTGTGTTTCTAAAGCCCCCTTTCCCTTGAGCATTTTTGCATTGCTTATTCAAATTATTCTTTGCATATTAGTTGAAGTTTACTTGGCATTAATCTCTGCACCTTAGGCAGTTTGTGTGTGTGTGTGTGTGTGTGTGAATCATGATAGTTGCTTTTATCTGCAATATTCAAATATGTCTGCAAGATCTACATCAGTTCGTTAATTATTTTTCTTGGCCCGAAATTTCGAAAATTTAGCTTGGGTTTTTAACAAAAACAGGCCAATTTTTAAATTTTTAGAGTTTTGTTCAGCTGTGCAATCATTCTAGCTGTCTAATTTTTAAGTGTAAAATCAAACAGGGTGCTCCTTAGTTAAGATTGTTTCTCCCTTGTTTAGTAATGTGGCCAATCCACAGTTCAAATAAAGATTCATTTGCTACTGTTCCTCTGCCTCTGGTAAGAACACAACCTTTTCCTTGAGATCCCAAAAAGAGACACCCTAGCTTTGTAAACATTGGAACCATTTAGCTATCCCTTGGTGAGACCTCAAAAGAGCAGTATCGAGGCGGGTCAAAAAGCTTAAGCGCAAAAGCGTGATGAGATGAGATTCCTTACTCCAAAAGCAGATACAAAACAAATACGCGCAAATATACACAAACCAAATCCGGGTAACATGAAATATTATTTAAGGGCTTGACGATGGTCATCTTACTATATCTGAGGCTAGAGACTTTCTTAAACGAGGAGCGCTCTAAGTGACTTTACAAGTCTGCATTAGCTAGTTAGATTGGTTGAATGTGTTTCGAGCAAACTTCTGTTAATCTAACTGTTGGAATGTGGTTGTTGGAAATCTTTGCGACGCGGACGTCAAGTTGAGCCAATACTAAGCGTTAACGAAATTTTTGTTATCTTGCAGCCAGCGTTGAATCTTGTAATTAAAACTAATTATCCCATGTATGTGACTGTGTGTAAACATTGGTTATGAATGTGAACTAGTGGGTTAAGTAGGAGTTTTGTGGTTAATAAGGTTGATTTGCATATATCTTCTTATTTAGAGCATTGTTTTCAAAATTGACCCGAAAACCTCATGTTTTTTCTTGGAGATTTATTCAGAAAGATGGTCAAATGTGTCTTTTATAAACTCACGTTGAGTCTTAATGCCCTTTTTTCTTGGTAAACCGACCTTAAAAAAGTTTGAAATCCTTGTAGGAATACCTTAGGATTTTGTTTTCTAGAACTGGCCTTCCACATACCATCTAGATGCTGCTTAATCTTCATTGCTTGATCAATTAAAATCTGAAAAAAAAGAAACCAATTTTAGGAGCCCGTTTATTTTAGAAAATTGTGTGATTTTTATATTTTTAGGCTTTCGATTGACCTCGCTACCGCTGCTGTTGAGCCATTTTACCCCATAAGATTCCGTTAGGAAACTTTTTTTGCAGCAGCCTTAGAGCATTTTCAGAACCCAAAAGAACCCACCGTTTAGCTCTCGTTCCTTGTAAGGTTTTATGGGCGTAAAGTCTCAAGTGTGGGTGTAAAATGCATTTCGTCCTTCTTGGCGATGATAAAATTGAAAATTGTTTTCTGTTTTGGTTGATTTGCATTTTAGCCATTACATATTTACATCCTTTGCTTTTGAGCTTATTGTAATTGGCTTATAATTGTGCTTATATTAGCTTATTGTAATTGTTTTGAGGGCTGATATGAAGTATGGAAGCAAACACTTTGCAGTGGATGATGATAACAGGAGAGACACATATAAGCAATCCAATTCAACTGCTTCAAGTGGCATGGAAAGAAGATTATTACATTGAGGGTATTTTTGTCCTGCAATTTTGTTTAGGTGACGGGCGGAATTATAAGCTACTTTCTGGGTTTTCTACGGTTCTTTCCCAGATCGTAAAAAGAGAGTCGAACCGAATAGGGTCCTTAGATAATCTTTGTATTGGAGTTCATCGTTTCTTAATAATATATCGGAACTAGTTTTCGCTTTGTGTTTTACACCGCCTCATATATAATCTAAAATTTTTAAGATTCTACAAACCTCATCTATCCATCAATTGTTAACATTGTTCGTTACATATATTCCTTAACTTTTTGAAAATGAGAACTTATGAAACACATAACTCAAGAAACATCTTAAGAAAATAAGAGATTAAAAAATGATATTTATGATGGAATTATGCAAAGAAATAAGTTTTCAATTTACACACGAAGCTCGTTATCAATTGGGACATTAATGATTAAACAATTGAAGATGCACAAGTACTCAATAAAGTAAATATGTGAATTTTTTTAAAAAATAAATATGAATGAGTTTAGGCGACAGTGAAAATTCTTTTTACTCGCCTCCGACCCTAATTTATCTGTCATTCTTTTCTTTTGAGGTTTTCATCAATTAAGGGCCTGTTTGAGAATAACGTTAGCTATTAGCGTTAGCGTTTTGAAAAAGTTATCTACGGGCAGTGTTTAGCGTTAGCGTTTTCAAAGTAATCTGCACCGTTAAAATTTTATCCAAAACGTTAATGCTAATCTCTAACGCTATTCTCAAACAGACCCTAAATTAGATCGGGTGATTAGATAATCTAATAGGTCGGGTAGAAAATGTCACTCCCTAGACCACTATGTCACTGCGTTAGTACGTAACCCACCTTGTATGAAAAGTCTGTCTATAAGTACACCGATACAATAATACCCCAAATATTTTTGTTTAACATTATCGACATGTTTGTTTTTTCAAAGAGTTTTATCTTTATTGGAATAATATTTGCTCATTCTATCAAATAAAAAAAATTAGATTTTATTTTGTACAACGTTAAAAAATAAAATTACTTTGGGCATACATACTAAAAATACAATAATTTTTTTGAACAATTTTATCTATTTACTACCTCTGTCCCAGAGTATTTGTCTATTTTCATTTTTACACACCATTCCGTACACTTCTTTAATCCATTTTATCTTATAATTTGTATATTAAAAAATTATAGAAATTATATATTAATAATCTATATGTTAAGACAAATCAAACAAGATCACACATGATTATAATTAGGCTTACACATTGAGAGAATTTGATGAGTCAAAGTGCTAAAATGAACAGTTCTAAAAGTCAAAACTGAACGAATACTCCGGAGGGAGTATTTGATAGATGCAGTCATTTGAGCAACACACTTTCATAGTTTCATACACCTAATTTAGTACTTTTTTTACTAGTTGGCAAACAATACATTATTTTTTTGGTAATACATTTAACACTTCCTTACAAAAATGACATTGGTTGAAAAAAAAAACAATAAAGAACTCTACCTTTATAGTACTATGTACTACCTCCGTCCCACTGTCTTTGTCCACTTTTGACTTTTGGAACTGTTCATCTAAGCACTTTGACTCATCAAATTCTTTCAATGTGTAAGCCTAAAAATAGTCATGTGTGATCTTGTTTGATTCGTATTAACATATAGATTATTAATATATAATTTTTATAATTTTTTAATATACAAATTACAAGATAAAATGGATTAAAAAAGTGCATTGGATGGTGTGCCAAAAGGTAAGTGGACAAAGACAGTGGGACGGAGGGAGGAGTATGTAACCTATTTTCTCACTTATTAACACATTGCATGACTCCTACTTTAAACAAACACATTACTCCTTCATAATAAATATTTAACTTAATATATTATTCTTTGAAATATTTTCTAAATTTATAGAAAGTAGTTTTAAAAGAATTTGATTTTTTGGGGATTGGCTCAGGGGAATTTCGGATGGGTTAGGCTAAGTAATTTCAATGCTTAAACTAAACACAAAAATAATAATAAGGATCTCTTTTCAAAATATACCCAATTTTAACTCTACAAAAATATTGAAGATTTTTTCCATTATACTTTTTATCGATGTATTTATTCAAAACTCCATATAAAAAATAATGTGATACTTTGGGTTAGTCTTTAATTGAATCGAAGCTAAAATATTTTTTAAAAATGGTACACAACTAGGTAAAAAGGCCAAGTACCCGTTTGGAAAGAGCGTTAGCCTTAACATTTGCTTTAATATTTTTATAATTATTTTTTATCGTTAAAAATTATTCAAAATGCTAATTCATAAAGGCCCCGTTTGATAAATGGAATTCAAATTATGGAATTTGAATTGAGGATTTCAATTTTAATTCTTGTGTTTGGTAGCACAAATATTATGTGGATTTGGAATTGATAGTGCAAAAAATGAATTGAAATTGGTGAATTCAATTCTATGGAATTGAATCCCATAGAATTTCAATTCCAATTTAAATCCAATTCCATCAATTCCGTATACCAAACGGACCCAAAGTGTTTTCCAGACCATGCTTGAATGAGTTAAATACCTGTTTTTCCATCCCAAAATGAAGCTTATGGAGTTATAGTTTGACATCACACATCTTTAACCAAAATAGCTAAAAATAAAAATGTTGTCAAAATTTGGGCTTAGCTTGCAATCAAAGAAATTAAACGTTCTAACTCATATATTTCTTTCCTAAAAACGAATTGAAAAAAATAGAAAAGTGAAATTTCATTTTGGGACACCTCAAAAAATAAAATGTATAAATGAGGACAAACGTGAAGTTCAAAAAAACTTCATCTATACAAGATTGTAAACCAAACAAATAGTTTAGACTCAATATGACAATTATTGAATTATAGGAGTTTAAGTGCAAAATACAAATTCAAACATGAAATGTGATTTAGGGTATGTTTGAGAATAATATTTTTTTTATTGTTAGCGTTTTGAATTGAAGATATATTTTACCTTACTATAAGATAAGGGAACTACGGAATAACGTTTAAATGATAAACTAAGATACACTAAGATAGATTTTGAATCATAGTTTACATTTCATACATGTCTAAAAAATATTAATGAACTTGCAGTACTTAAAAATAATTGAATATTCGTTCTAGATTGTAAACTATTTAAATATGAACTAAATATTAGTATGAATCTAATTTAAATTGTGTTTCACATCCTGATTGTAATTTGTATTTGAATATATAAAAAAAACTCACAAATTCAAATAATTCAACATTCCATTCCATTCGTTCACGATCCTATCTAAAATCAAGTCTATTAGGAATTATGCTTATATAACTTATTATGTAAGTTATGCTAATCCTAACAAAAGTGGGATAAATATATTAGGTTAATGATATTTTTTAATTGCCAAAAAAAATTCCAATTTAGAAGGAAAGGTATTTTAATTACTCGGTAATTAATTAAGCTAATACCCTATTCAAAAAGAAATTAACAGAACCGTACCTAAATCACCATTTTACTCGGATCAGGAAATAAAGATCGGAGTACCAAATGGCCGACCCGGCCCGGCCCACATTCCGTTCCGCCATATATATATACGCATAGTATTCCATCGTCTTCCGCAAGTAACAAATTTCAGTTTCGATTCTTTCCTTAAACCTCTTTCGATGGCCAGAAAAGGTAGAGACAAGTCTGCATACGTCGTCGTTTCGATCCTCCTCTTTTTCCTCTTCCTCTACCACCGTTGCATCTACGACGCCTCCGCTCCCGTCTTCGGCGTCGCTCCGCCGCGGACGGCGGAGTTCCGGGCTAGTAGGATCATCAAGGAAGATCCCGGCGGAGATCCTCCTCGCGCGGGCCCGATCGTGATCCTGTCTCCCGTCCCGGCGGTCTCCGTTTTGGTGCCGGACTGGCAGGTGTTTGTGATTGTCTCGCCGGAATATTCTCCTCTGGCGGTGCAGGAAGACGATCCCTACGCGTGTCTCTTCGAGAACGGGGCCACGTCTCCGGCGGCTTTCGCCGGGGTGTTCCCGTCCCCTGATCGGTCCTTGTTGGTGTGCAATTTGCCGGAAAAGCTTCGCCGGTGGAAGCATATTAAGCAGCCAGTTTTGACCCGGTCTTCGTTCCTGGTGAATTTAACCTCAGATGCGACTAATTCGCAGCCGCCGCTTCTCCGGTGGAACTATCTGGTCTACGACTCTCTCACGACGGAGGACGACGTCGTTTTGTTCGTCAAGGGCGTCAATAACCGGCAAGGGGTCAACCGGGATCCGTCTGAGTTCCGGTGCATCTTCTTCACCGGCGACGATCCGACCGTCGCCGTGAAAACAGAGGTCACCAGCTCTGTTCAAGAAGTCTTCCGCTGCAAGCGCCCGGAATCCCTTCCCGCCGGAGAAAAACAGAGCATCATCGTCTCCTTGGAAATCCTCAGACCCAATCCGGCAATCGTCCCCTCCGTGGCGTTCTACAGTCCGCCGCGCCACCTCGCCGCCCCCGGCGGCCGGAAACACGCCCTCTGCGCCTCCACCATGGTTTTCAACGTGGCGAAGAATCTGAAAGAGTGGGTTCTCTACCATTCAAGAATCAGAGTCGAAAAATTCGTTCTTTACGACAACAACAGCGAGGATGAACTCCAAGAAACCGTCCGAAACCTCGTACGACAAGGATTCGACGTCACCACTTATTTCTGGCCGTGGCCGAAAACCCAAGAGTCCGGCTTCTCCCACAGCGCCGTCTTCGCCAACAGTTCTTGTTCCTGGATGCTATACACGGACGTAGACGAATTTCTTTATTCCCCATCCTGGAATAATGAAATTTCGCATCTCCAGAATGCGAATTTACTTTCTCTGTTGCCGGAAAACAGTGAGGTGGCACAACTGAGCATGGCTTGTTTCGAGTTCGGGCCGTCGGGAAGGAAGGCGCACCCGTCGGAGGGGGTGACGCAGGGGTACAATTGCCGGAAAAGGCGAGACAACCGCCACAAATCGGCGGTGCTTCTCGACGCGGTGGATCACTCTCTGTTGAACGTGATCCATCATTTCACGATGAAGCCGGGGTACAGAACGGAGAAGGTGAAGGTGAACGACGTCGTCGTGAACCATTACAAGTACCAGGCTTGGCCGGAGTTCAGGGCGAAGTTCCGGCGGCGGGTCTCGGCGTATGTCATTGACTGGACGAGGCGGGAGAACCCGAACTCCAACGACCGGGCTCCCGGTCTGGGGTACCGGGCGGTCGAGCCGGCGGATTGGCCGATGAGGTTTTGCGAAGTTTATGACAACGGGTTGAAATCGTTGGCCCAGAGATGGTTCGGCGTTCGGTCTCCGGCGGGTTACCGGATGGCTTGGCAGAGTTGATGGTACTAACTTAACCTAACCATGGTTAAGTATTTTTTTTTTAATTTTTTTGAATAGGTATTTTCATTTTAATTCACAAATATTTAGAGGTTGAATTTTATTTATTGATTGTATATAGAGTGATAATTCTTTTGTTATTTGAATCCCATTGTTGGATGTGAGTATGTGACTATGAGAAATTGAGAATAAAATCAATAAATATACCGAGTAATTTATAATCCTTTGTTGTTCTAAGTTCTAACTTATTTTCTTTTCATTTTCAAATTTTTTTAAAACTAAATAGTGTTAATGTTCATATTTGGTATTTGCATCACCCTTGCCATGCACAAATTTATAAATGGTCAATACTTTATTGCATTACCACGATTGATTACAGAGTACACGTTTAAAGTAATTAATTTCTTTTCATAACCATCTACTCCCTCCGTTATAAAAAGTCTTTCCTGTTTCATTTTTTGCGCATCTCATAAAACACTTCTATCCGACCATGAATGTAAAAAAAACTTTTAAAATAGCTTCTACCCACAATAAAGAAGAAATGTTGTAAATTTTAGACATTTTAGATGTCGGTAGAAATGTTTTATAGGATGCGCAAAAAATGAAACAGAATATACCTTTTGGGACGGATGGAGTATGTTATAGAGTATATATTTAGTGTTGATTTTTTAATCATTCATTTTCAATCTTTGATCTATAATTAAATAAAATATATATTATATATTACTTAAATAATATAATATTTTGAAAATATTTTATATAATAAATCTAATAGAACTATTGTTTATCAATATCTAATACAATTTTTATTGAATTTGGAATCAAAATTTATCATTTTTTACCAAAAAATAAAAATTGAACAAATACTCATTAACATTCACCATTGCTTAACTTATTTTTACTAATCATTTTTATATAATGTTTATTGCAGTAATATAGTGTACACGGTATTATAACTTTTCAACACGCTCTATAACTTTAATTTTTTTACTTGTATACTCTATTTGTCTCTAATTTTTTTTACTTTTTTTCATCCGTTCCTAAAATTTTTCTTATTCATAAAAAAAAACTCATTTATTCACATTACTCTATCAAGTTTTTTCTCGTTTCATTTGTTTCTATATTTCTATTGTTTTTTTGATAATAAAAAGAATTGAGTTAAATGTACAAATAGTCTTTGTGGTTTTTCATAAGTATGTAAATAATCTATATACTTTTAAAAATTGCAAAGTAGTCTCTGTGGTCAACTATTACATGATTGACGTTTTTGCATAATACGCGCGTATTGTGCATATTTTACGGATTTTCTAGTATAAGGACTAATCATGCTATGATTGTTTGATCACACAGAGTATTTGACAACTTTTAAAAGTTTGAGGACTATTCACCCACTTATCAAATACAAGAGAGACTATATATGTATATAACTCAAAAGAATTTTACAAGTCTGAAGTACGATATTTTTAGAAGTTTGAATCTTTTTCTCGTATTCCTAAATAAACATGTCAGGTTAACACGAAAAAAATATTTTAAGACGAAGTGAATGCTCTTCCAAGTTTTGACTAGTAAGTTGAACTACCAATAAACGGTCGTGTTCTATTCACTATTGGACTCTCTTCCCTATTTAAATGGTCAAAACTTCATTAGTCAATTAGGAAACGGACTTTGAATATTTTACGTGCAAGTATTATTTTGAGATGACAATTATTTTAAAGTTTAAATATATTTTTAGTCCATAAAAAATTTAATGATTTATGTTTTTGGTTCCTATAATATTTTATGTTTAATTCATCTCTACAAAAAAAAAGTTATTTCAAAAATAGTTCTTAAAAATAACTCAATTTTAGCGCAACAAGACATTTATTTCATACTAACGTTCTAGAAATGCATAACCGAATATTCAAAAGTTTGTACTCATATTAGAACAATTAGGAAAAAAGGTAAATTGCAATTAATGGTTAACTCTTTAATTAACTGTTGTGAATTATACGTAATGAAGTCAATTGTAACCTAAAAACAACAAATTTTGAGTGTATATATAGGCATATATAGCAATATGTGGAGACACTGGAGTGCAAATATCATATCACTAGAATATACACTCTGTTTTTTAATTTAATTAATTGGAATATTAAAATACTATATTTTAAAATAAATCTAATTTTATTAAATTTATATTATACCTACATAATTTACTTTTTCTATAATTCACGGTCAAAAGTACCATAATTTGATCCAAAAAATCAAATTGAGACAATTTTTTTGGGATTGATGGAATAAAATTTTACCTACCTATTTTTTTAACAACTTTTCCAACCATACTATGCTCACATTTATGTGTAAAATATAAAATGTTGTAATTAACTTCTACTAGTTTTTTAAATAGCAAGTGTGATTTGTGCATATTGGGAGTGAATACAAATTAAAGACAATTGTTGGAGATGTTCTTATGAATAACACAACACATATTTCATATATTTCTTTTTTATATTAAATTTTTAGTATTATTAAATTATGCATATTAAAAAACATATGTATTTACATTTAAGAACTGCATTATTTTCATTGCATGCATACAAGAACTTGCATTCCACACACAAATACTCCCTCCATCACATATTTTCCTTTTCACGTTTTGTTTCTTGTGATCAATATTTTAAATTATATCCACAAATTACAGAAAAAATACATTGAAATGTGATTTAAATTTAATATTAATAGATTATTTTGAAATGTAGGTTTGAAATGTCATATTTTTATATATAATCTATATTAATATATATATAAATAGAGATATTAATGGTCATAGTATTACAATTAAGACCGTAAACAATCAAATATGAAGAAAGATATGAGACAACGGAGTATTTGCAAATAACACAATACCAAATATATGTTTTTATTTTATTGCACTTTAGTCAAAACATTCACACTAAAAAATATATCTGTCCACATTTGATATGTGATGGGATTAACCCGATCATATGGCGGACCAAGAACGAAATATGAGTTAGGAAGATATAATCACTCGATAATATTCTTTGATTGAGTATTGAACTGTTTTGTTGAGGCTTGCTTTACAACGGCGCGGTCCTCCCCTTTTATAGTACTTCTAATATTCTAATTAAAATTATACAAAATGGAGATGGATTATGGAGATCATGGGGTCGTGATTCCCCCTCTTTCCGGTCTCGTTCTCTTCCCATTTCGCTCACAACTTGACGATGTGGGCCACGTGTCCCATTCCTCCCTTGGACTGGATCAACTTAACCTATCCCATGTTTGGGCTGTTTTCCTTCGCTTGCCAGATGCGAGATAACGGGCTTGGCCCGTCATCCCCATCTGATCTTATTCCTTTTGGGCTATTACGGGCCTTCATTTGGGCCTGGAGTCGGGCCTACCAGACCCGATATCCATCACAAGCCCCCTAGTTTTCTGGCGACGCGTCGCTAGAAAACTAATGATGAGCCGCCTTCGATCTTCGTGTCGGATTAGAAACGTCGCACTCGAGTACCTCGGGTCCACCCTTTCAACGGATAAAAACCCTCTTCTGGACTCATCTTCTTTCTCTCGCCACTGAATCTTAACCCGACCCGAATTCCGACTGCAATTTCCCCAAAATCCTCGTCTCCTTTCCCGGAATGGCCCCTACGAATCCTGAAACCTGGACCCATGGGCCCTCCATTATCAAGGAGAACGAACTTCGAGAGATGGCCGTGCTCCTGGGCAAGGGCTTCCGGGTCCACCATCCCGATGCCGTTGGGGGGATTAGCTTATCCTACAATCCAAATCCCCAGAAATATATGGTCATGCAGTACCACTCCGTGGAGAACGGATTTAGATTGCCCCTCCACGGTATGCTTCGCGATCTCTGCCTCCACTTCGGATTTGCTCCGGGTCAACTGACCGCCAATGCACACAAGTATGTTGCATCCTTCATCTTGAGGTGTTGTGCCCTGGACAGAGCCCCAAATCTGGAGGAATTCCTTATGCTCTTCAGTATTGGGGGGTTCCCTTTCTACAGCCTATACCCCCATAACCACTTTCCCATTTTTGAGAAGGTTGAGCTCAAGATCGACAAATGGTCATTGAAATATTTCGCCATTGAGTTTCCGGCTCACAGCCCCATCGATCTACTGGGTGTCGCCCTCCGCCGTTCCATCTCCCGGACGAAATTCGCCACAGCAGACTTGGCGGAGGGAGTGTATAATGCCTTGAAAGAGAAGGAGGGTTTAATTTCCCACCACTCTCTCCAAGATGCCCAACTGTACAAGAAGGCAGGTTTTTACTATCCCCTGGGTCCTGACCCGATTCCCTTTGAAGAGGTACCCTCTCCCGAGAGATCGAAGGTTCCTTCTGCTGCGGGGTCTATCCCGGCTGCTAGCCCTTCTGGAAGTCGATCCCAAGGCGGTTCCACTACCTTGGTTGTGCGCAATCCGGCTGCTGCCCTGGACGTTGTTCCTCTCTCCGCCATCCCTGGGCTCAGGAGGCCCACTCCGTCCCAAAAACGGCCACGAGAAGGTGTCTCCGGTGATGATTTCCTTCCCAAAAAGAACAAGGACGACGGCACTTCTGTTTCGCCTAGCCCCCTGTCCACTTCTTCCGGCACCCAGAATACCACTCCTGCTGCTACATCCGGGGTCTTGGAGTTATCCCACCCGGATAGACTTGATTGTGAGGAAGAAGAGCTTAGGGACCAGTCTGCGCTCAGGAAACCCATAACGCAGCCCCAGACTGAGGAGCCCGGTTCCTCACCACACGCCGCAACCAGTCCCCGAGTAATGGAGGAAGAAGGGATGAGGCAGAAAGAACCAGAGTCCTCCCCTACGGCAGAGAGGGAGGTTGAAGTGCAGACAGAGACGAAAGTCTCCCACCCGGAGGAGGATGAGACTGGAGAGCAGAGGGATGCTGAAGCTTCCCCATAAGTGAGGGAAGAGACTGAGGCACAGCAGACTCAGGAGGAGTAGCGGGAGCCAGAAGAACGACATCCCGCTACTGCCCCCACGACTGTCAATCTCCCCATCCGGCGCAAGTTCACGCCACAGACTTATCCTGTTTTTGCAGAGAGTTGGGCAGACTTCTCCCGTGGTCTGAGATCCCTGCAAGCCTCCCATTGGACCATCCAGGCTAACCTTGAGAGGATGAGAGAATCTGTGCAGGGGCCTGCAACTCCCCAATCTCGTCCTGACTTGCTTGCCCTCAATGCTTTGCATCTCATGGAACAGGTATTCTTTGAAATATTTTTTATCTCTTTCTGGGTTAGTTCTCTTCCTTGACTTCCCTCCCCTTCTTCTAGGCCTAGCAATCATTCCTTACTTTGACTGAGGAGTACCTGGGTGGAGCATCAGGGAACTTCTGGGTTGTTGTGCTTCTGAGGGAAAGGGAATTGGCTGCCAGGGCCTTGCAACAGGAGGTTGACTCCCTGGAACAACAAGTCCAGATCCTGCAAGGGGAGAGTGCTCGGCTCCAAGCAGATAGCTCAACGGAGCTAGCAGCTGAGAGATCCAAGGTCCATTCCCTACAAGATCAGATTGTTAATTACCAAAAAGAGACCCAGGACCTGGAAGTGCAGTTTGTTAGATTCCGGGCACAAATCTCCATGCTGGAATCAAGGGCCTCAGCTTCAGAGGGCCAGGTAGGAAGCCTGAAAGCTGAGTTGGCTGAAAGGGAGTCCCGGATTTCTGCGCTGGAGGATTCCCTCCAGGATGCCAAGCGTGAGAGCTCCCGTTACAACGAATTCGCCCTGAAGCAGATGGAGGCAAGACGACTCGACCTTGAGAAGTTGAAGGGAGAGAGATAGGCTGCGAGTGAGCTCCGGTCAAAGGTGGATGAACAGGAGAAGATGATTGCTGCTTATCAAGAGGAGGTGGCCACCCTGACTGCCCGTGCCGGAGCCCTCTACGAAGAGGGACAGTTTGACATGCAGCAATGCATCTACGGGGCAGTCCAGAGTGGTCTCCCAGAGGACCGCACTTTGGATGACTTCATCTCCTACTATGGGTTACCTCTTCCTCTTCCTCCCCCAGCTTCTCGTGCAGACCCGGGACCGTGACTTTATCCTTCTCTGTTAACTGTTATATTTTGCCTTGTAATTATTTGGATGATAGTAAACTGATAACACCTGATGTATTTTTGTCCATATGGACTTCTTTAGCAATCTGACTGTTTCCCTTTTGGAATTCTTATTTCGCCTTAGGACTTAGCAGATTTTTTTTATCCGCCTAGGCTTTGGGCTTAACCGCGTTCATAACATCCTGTTTCTCTCGTTCTCCATTCCACTAAGTGACTGGCCCACCTTAATTATGCCGGGCCCAATTCACCTTAGCCCAATGATAAGATAGCGGAACCCTAGCTTTCCTCGGGAATCCGCAACTCCCTCCCAATCGGATAAGCGCTTTGACTCCGCGTCCTTTGCCCTTCTCCTTTGGGATTACTCGTCTATTTAAGGGACTAAGCTGAACTTCTCCATCACCACAATCAATTTCTCAACATGGCTAATAACGCCAATAGAGCTATCCTCATCGACCTTACCATTTCTGATTCTTCTTCTTCTGATTCTTCTTCGTTGGCATTCCCTTCACTTGGGTCCCCAACGCCTGAGCTCTCTTCCGGGCCTTCTCTTACCTCTGAACAGTCGGTAACTTCTCCTTTGCCCCGAGAAGAGAATAACCCTCATCTCCCCCCATAGGTCTCGGGGAGTGTACACCCGGGTCCCGGCGTGCTTCCTAGCAGTGCCAGGGCGGAAGTCTCTTCAGGTTGTCCTGGCACTTCTCGTCCGCAGAAGAGACGCCATCCCCACTCAGGAGCTTCCCGGCTGGTCTCTGGTGCGAGGCCTTCTTCTCAGGGTTCCCCTTCCCCTCAGCAGTTGTATGGACAGCCACCTGAGGAATGGGGGGACTATGACATGGGGGGAAACAGGCTTCCCTTTATACGCAGGGAAAAGGACGGAACCTTCCGGGATCCACCTCCTCCCGCCGTATAAGCGGAGTCTGGCCTTGAATCCTTCCCTCATGCCCTACCGTCCTCCCGGCTCGGCTTCAAAGGGACGACCGGATGGTGCCAACGGAGGGGATGCCTTTCAATCCCAACCCGTTGGTTCCGTTTCGTATCTTTTGAATGTCATGAAGGGAGACCGGTGGGCACCTTCATGGGATCGCCTGGATGGTATCCGTGGGGTTGGCTTTAGATCCCTACCCGTTGGTACCATTCTAAGTCCTGTGAATGTCATGAAGTGTCTTCGGCGGACACTCTCCATGCCCCCCCAGCTCTGGGGTCCTTTTCCGGTTCAGGCAAGGAAACAAGGGTCAGCGAATACACTCCTTTAGATTCCAGAAGTGTCGATCCGCCTAGCCTTTAATTTTTTTTTGCGGTAGGATAGAAGTAGATCAGGGACAAAGTTCATTATTGTAACCCAAAAGAATGTTGTCTTCTGTTTGAGTTATTTAATGAAAATCTTTATCTCCCGTCTCTTTTTTTGTTTCGTTGTTTGATCAGGGATAAGGCCCATTATTGTGACCCAAAAGAATGTAATTTTCTGTTTGAGCTATTTAATGGAAAAACCTTTATCTCCTGTCATTTAATACAATTTTGTTGCACGTGCCGTCATCCGCATGGAGTAGAAGTCTAAGTCCATTTAACTCCTTACCTTCCAAGGATGACGTCTTTTCCAAAACGCAAATGGGCTCAATTAACTAGCCCATGCACTTTAGTGGCGAGAAACTCTTAGTCAAACTTTGGGAAAGCTTCGACCGCTTCTTTCACCAATCGCTTAGTCTTTCACGCCTTTTAATTGCATTCATCAATTCCCAACTATTCCTTCCCCTTTGACTATAAAATGGGAAAGGGCAATTAGCGGCCCGTCCATCACTTTCTGCCTTCTTCGCCATGGCAAGCAAGTGTGAGGGCAAAGTCATCATCGACTTAACCCTCTCTAGGACGTCTTCTTCTTCAGATGATGACTTGTCCATCTCCCTAGCCCAATCGAATGACATGGCCGGGTTGAGTCCCGGCGAGTTCTCGAGGCTTTATCCGGCGCCCCGACTTCCTGCACCATCTCCTCCCAGTCCACCCAGGCTTCCCTCCGGGGAGGTAGACTGGGACTCCATGACTCTTCAGGACTTCGCCTTGTACCAGAGGATGTGCAGGGCTAAGCTTGGACGTTCTTTGCTAACTGTTGAAGCGGAACCTTCATGTGAAAGCAGGACTGCTTCTCCGAACCTGCTGAAGCCCCCCAACAATGGTTTTCTATTGAAGGGAGCAGCCCCTCGTCCTGGGACATGGGAAGATTATGACCTATGGAAAACCGCTGATTCATCAACGTGTCCCTTGTCAAAGAGAAGGAACCCATGGAAGGGTCCCCCACCTCCTTCTTGTTGACTGCATGGATGCAATAGGCCCTCCTTCAGTTCCTAGCCTCCTGCAAATCAAATTTCTTTTCCTTGTTTTGTATCAAGGGGCATTCACTTGCTCGGTCCAGAGGTTTTCCCCTCATTCCAAACTAAGGAATGTTCCTTAATTTTGAAGTAGGAATCATCATTGTAGTTCAAAGATATACCCTCTGAATTAGCAGTCGATAACTCCCTTAGTTTCTTTTCTCGTTTATTTCACTAGGAACCTTTATTGTGATCCAAAAAATGTCAACCTTGGCCCACTAATATGGTCCTTAATGATCAAATTTTTGCACCTCTTTAAATGCAAGTACATAATTCATTCTCCATATTAAATCTCATCTTCCCGGGGTTTGGGCATGCCCGGGGCATTTATCACATCTGCCCCAGACCCCCCTTTCCTCCGGGTTAAGGCATTATCTTATCTACCTTGGATCAGTTGAGCTCCAACCCTCGAAGTTTGTTTGCCCGGTTGATCTATGCTAGTGGAATACTAAGCTTCAGCCCTCGAAGTCTGCTTGCTATTCTTCCTGAATTCCGGGTTGTAGTGGCCCTCGAAGTCCAATCCCAACCCTTCCTTCATTTTTGACGGAGGCATAAACTTCTCTACCTCCGGGGGGGCATAAACTTATCTACCTCCCCTATTTTTAGCAGGTGGCATAAACTTTTCTACCTCCCTGTAAAGCGGGTCTATATAGCCCTGGGGTGCTTCCCCCCCCCCCCCCCTTTTTTTTAAAAGAAATCTATAGAACAAGGAAATTGCAAAGGCACTTGGCTATAGAAGAATTTGATTGAAACAAACATTTTAAATTAAAAATAGAGCATTTTTACAAAATGATTCACTGATAAAATTTGACCAAGTGCTCTACATTCCATGTCCTATCAATTTCTTTCCCCTTGGGAGTCACCAACTTGTAGGTACCTGGGCGAACAACGGCCTTGATGATATAAGGTCCTTCATACTTCTTAGCCAGCTTCCCACCCTTAGTTGGTTGACTCTTCTCTCGTTTCCTCAGAACATAATCCCCCACCTGGAATGTTCTTGGTTTCACCTTGCTATCAAAGTAAGATTTCACCTGGCGACGATAATTCTCTGCCCGGATACGCGCTTCATCCCTTCGTTCTTCTACGAAATTCAGTTCTACGGCCTGATTCTGCTCGTTCACCTCCGGGTCATATTCCATTTCTCTCCTGGTGGGGATTACTACTTCACCGGGAGCCCGGGCTTCAAAACCATAAGCCAAGCCAAAAGGAGTGTCACCCGTAGCTCTCCTCGGAGTCGTCCTGTATGTCCACAGGATTCTGGGTAGTTCATCTACCCATTTGCTTCCTTCTGAAAGTACCTTCTTCTTTATTCCGTCTATGATTGTTCTGTTGACGTTCTCCACTTGTCCATTAGCCTGAGGATACGCAACAGACACCTTCGTGTGCTGAATCCCCCAAGTTTTGAGAAAGTCTTGAAATTCTGCTTCCTCAAACTGGGTTCCATTGTCTGATATGATCTGCTTCGGGACCCCAAACCTGCAGAGTATATTGGTCCCGACGAAGTCGATCATCTGCCTTCTGGTGATCCCTGCAAGTGGCTCAGCTTCCACCCACTTTGTGAAATAGTCTATCGCCACCACAATCCACCTTGCCTGTCCTGCCCCTTTCGGCAGGGCTCCCACAAGATCAACCCCCCATCTTGAAAAGTGAATCACGGAGCTGACGGGCGTGTAATTCGTGGCTGGCCTCCCGGGTATATTCTGGAATTGCTGGCAGGTCGGGCACTTGCGTACATATTCTTCGCAATCCTTCCTCATCGTTGGCCAGAAATATCCCTGGATGATAGCCCTCTTGGAAATGGAATAAGGACCCTGATGTGCAGCACATACTCCTTCGTGTATTTCTTCCATCAATGCCTTTGCCTCTGTTGCTCTAAGACAGCGGAGTAGAACTCCGTTGTAGGACCGCTTATAGAGGACTCCGTCCTGTACCTTGTAGGTTGGTGCCCTCATTCGTAATAGACGTGCCTCCTGGGGATCCTCCGGGGATTCACCATCCTCAATATATTTGGCCAACCGATCCAGCCATTCTGGGGGATCAGCCGATACCCAGATCACTTCACTGCTGTTAAGACTAGGGGTTACCAGCTCTTCAATGGTTGCTAACTTGCTTATGTATTCCGGTGACTCTGCGCTGAGCTTGGAGAGAACATCAGCCTCCGCATTCTGGGCTCGGGGAATATGTTCAAGCTTAAACTCAAATTTTCCCAACACCTCCAAGGTCAAGTCCCGGTACCTTTTCATCCTCTCTTCCTTTGCTTCAAATTCCCCCGTGATTTGTCCCACAACTAGTCGGGAGTCGGTGTAAACCTGAACCCTGGATACTCCCATCTTACGTAGAATTTTCAAACCATTGATCAGGGCCTCATACTCAGCTTCATTGTTGGACACACGGAACTGAAATCTTATGGCGTAATAAATCTGGAATTTTTCTGGGGTGATCAGGACGATACCTGCTCCGCAAGATCGAGACCCAGAAGATCCATCAATGCTCATTATCCACTAGTCTTTTTCCACCCGGGTTTCAGCCTGGGCTCTTGTCACTTCCCTAGCGGTGCACTCGACTTGAAAGTCGGCGAGTGCTTGCCCCTTGATGGATGGGCGCGGCCTGAATTCCACGTTGTATTGACTAATAAAGACCGCCCACTTGGTCATCTGGGCAGAAGCCGCCGGGCTTCGGGTAAGTGACGCCAAAGGCTCATTGGTGAGCACAATAATCCGGTGAGCCTGAAAGTACGGGGTTAATCTCTTCGCTGTCCAGAAGACCGCCAACATAGCTTTCTCCGGACGGGAATACCTTAACTCCGCATCTCTCAAGGTCTTGCTGACGTAATAGACTGGATGTTGGGCCCCACGCTCTTCTCTCACGATCACAGTACTTATAGCACAGTCCGCAATTGCCAAATATAAAGTCAGAATATCCCCAGGTTCCGGCTTGGATAAAACCGGCGGACTTGTGAGATATCTCTTCAATTCTTCAAATGCTTCTTGACATTCCTGTGTCCATTCGAAGGTCGCCTTCTTCTTAATCACTGCAAAGAATGGGTGCTCCTTCTCTGCCAGCTTCGAAAGGAAATAATTCAAGGCTGCCAATCTTCCTGTTAGCCGCTGGACTTCCTTTGCTGTTTTTGGGGGTTCCATCTCCATGATGGCTCTAACTTTCTCCGGATTTGCCTCAATTCCTTTCCGGCTTACCATGTGCCCAAGGAATTTCCCACCTTGAACAGCAAAAGTACATTTCTTCGGGTTCAATCTCAGATTCACCTTCATCATGATTTCAAAGACCTCCTCAAGGTCCCGGACATGGTCTCGGGCCTCTTTGGACTTGACAATCATATCATCGACATACGCCTCCATGGTCCGTCCTAGGACAGTCTTGAACACCTGAGAAACCATCCGGGTATATGTTGCCCCGGAATTTCTCAGTCCAAAAGCCATCACTAGGTAACAGTACAGCCCTTCTGGGGTCATAAAGCTTGTTTTCTCAGCATCGGTCGGATGCATCCGAATCTGGTGGTAGCCACTGAAAGCGTCCATAAAGCTCATTAGCTCTGACCCAGCAGTTTCATCCACCATTTGATCGATGTTGGGGAGAGGAAACGGATCCATGGGACATGCCTTGTTCAAATCTGTGTAGTCGACGCACATCCTCCATGAAGGTGGCTTGGGTGCTAGGACTACATTCGCCAACCAATCCGGGTATTGTACCTCCCGGATATGCACAATGCTCTGCAGGGTTGCCACCTCCTTCTTCACGAAATCTCTTCTTTCCTGCGACAAATGTCTTCGTTTCTGCTTCACCGCTCTGGCATCCGGCAGAACATTTAGGCGATGAACTGCAATCTTATGATCCAGTCCTGGCATATCAGCTGGACTCCATGCAAAGACCCTTCTGAACCTCCTGAGAACTGAAATCACTCGTGACCTGAGTTCAGCCCCCAGCCCCTTACCAATCCTGACAAACCTTCCCGGCGTGCCTGGCTCCAGTTGCACCTCTTCAATGTCGCCGGCAACTTCTACTCTGGGACGTTTTTCCTCTGCCCTCAGGAGCTGCGCAGTTACTTCTCCTACTTGGGTATCGTACTTGACCGGCTGTTTGGTTGCCTTCAAATACCATGCCCGGGATACTCTCTGAGATCCCCTGGCAATTCCAACTCCATGGGGGGTTTGGAATTTTATGCACAGGTGACGAGGTGAAATAACACACTCCAAATCTTCCAATCCGGGTCGGCCCAAGATAATGTTCGTGTTGGAGATTATCCCCACCACGACGAACTCCATGTCCAGCTTCCGGGTTGCCTTAGTATCCCCTATCTCAACCGGGAGGGTTATTACCCCCTCCGGCTCAATAGAGTCACCAGTGAACCCAGTTAGTGGAGTCTTGATGGGTGATAATTCATCTCTTGTCAAACCGAGAGCCTTGTATGTATCCATATACATAATATTAACGGAGCTTCCCGTATCCACAAGGGTTTTGTGGATCAGTAAGTCCATTATATCAATAGTAATTACTAGGGCGTCCCTATGAGGGACCCCTGTCTCTGGAAGATCAGCATTAGAAAATACAATAGGCTCGGTTTTCAACTTCTTACCTTTCGGGACCAGCACCTTGTTGACCACTGCCGCGTTAGCCCACTTCTTCCGGCTAGTGGCCGAGTCCCCACCAGTATTCCCTCCAATGATGAAATTACACCCATGGTGTTGTTGAAACACGGGTTTATCACCTTTTCGTACTAAAGCCGTGTTTGTTCTTATGAAAGGTTTTGATAATGCCAAACCGCCGTGAACGAGACAAGTTGTTGAATATAAAAGGAGAGAAATAAACATAAGAAGAAAGCAAGAGAACAAGACCCAAAAGAAGACCAAGAATGAAGACTGTAGTCTTAGTGTTGTTGAGTCGGTCATAATTGTGATCAAGACCGACCCAACCTTTACACCTTGGCTCTTTAGGCTAAAATTCTTTTCATTGCATTTCACACATCATAAAAATGTTTTTCAAACATGTTTAAAACATTAAAAACACTTGGTGTTCGCCCAAACCAAAAACCAAGCCATCCAGCGTTCGGGTTTCAGAAACCGGCGTTCGGCTCTCGGTTATCGGCTATGGTTTTTGGCGTCCGAACCAGCCGAGTGGTTTTCAACTTTTTATGATTGGTTTTCACTCTTTGGCATGATTAAACGGTTCTCCAACAAAAACACTTTGAAAACCATCTTTCGCTTTTGGTCGTTTGACAAAAATCATTCAAAACGGCATGAACTTGGCTAGCCGTGGTTTTCACTCAAATGACGTGGTTTTTAAAGTGTCTTACTTAATTTCTTAGCCAAATACATCAAATAAGTGTTTTAAACACTTGGTTTTTATTTTGGAGAACTTTGGATTTTTCAGTCGGTTTTTGCATCGGTTGGCTAGGCCGTGGTTAAGGCAAAAACCATGGGTTCTTGACTAACCACCCACCCAGCGATGGGAAGATCTTCCCATCGATGGGTAAGCGGTCCCTTAGCCAAACCAATTTCCAGAACCATGCCAAACAGCGATGGGAAGTTCTACCCATCGATGTTAAAGCCTTGGTGCAACATTACCACAAGGCAGAATGCCCTTACCCAGCGATGGGAAGCTTTACCCATCGATGGGAACCCAGCGATGGGAAGGCTTAAACATCGATGGGAAGGCATGACCGTTGGGAGTCATTTAAAG